GTCGAGGTTTAAAGGCCCTTCATATTCGCTGGACAATAGCCAGTACTCGGTCCTGCTGACGATACGGTTGCTAGGTGAACGTTTAGTGCCGACAGCAGCGTGTCACCGTGTGAATATAAGAGCTGCCGGGATCAGAAAACATCTTCCCGAGAACCCGGGTTCTTTTTTTAAAGAAGAACGTTTTCTGTGTAAATCTGCGAGAGTTCTTCATTTGAAGGTCTTTTTCTTATGTTTTTCTTCTCGGGACCGTCCTTATCAATCATGACCAAACATCAGAGAACAATCGCCTTCATTTTTCCTTTTGATCCTCTGAAGACCGACAATGGCTCTCCTTTTTTCCTAATGCGATTTTTTATTTTCGTCTGGCGAAGTATTCTTGACGTCAGACGTTCACTCACACGGATTTTTGATTTCGTTCCACAGGAAAATTCTGTGGATTTTATGTCGACGGCACTTGACGCAACCGGCTGCATGAACTTATAGGTTCAATGAAAATTACTTTGATCTCGAAAATTGACAGAAGTTTGGGTTGACCTGAAGTGTTTGAAAAGTGGTTCCTGAACCTCATGTGGGCTCCGGTTTCTTCAGTTGAAACTGATTCGATTCCTAAAGCCGATCACAACGCAACTACGGTAGACACTCATGCGCATCCAGTGAGCAAACAGGTTTATTCCTTCGATTTTCATTTTTAACAGAAATATTTCCGTTTTGAGACAATGAGGTTTTCGAATGTATTGAAATACCATATTAACTACTGCACGTCAAGCACGCACAGAGTACGTTTGCCAATCGACTAAAAAATCTAGAATTGAATAAACCAATAATCGAATTTGCAAAGGTATTGAATAGCCAAACCAACTCAGCATATATTTTCATTCTCTGCTTTGATATACTCTGCAGTAATAAAAATTTGCATGTGATCTGAAGAAAGATCACAAGAAGATAAAAAATGCACACAAATATTTGTTCCCAGGGGAATGATGAAATTCCTTGGCACAGATGAAGAAATGATTCTGGGAAGAAGAAATTTAATGAATCAGCAAAACGGAGTTTGTAATTTTTAACTCAGATGTGGACGAACGCGCTATTAACTTCAAATTACTGTCTACTTCTTTCGAAATTTTTATGACTTCCAAGGAGTACAAGTACAATTTTAAAAACATAATTCAGAATCAACAGGAGAGTTCAGAACACTTCCCAGAACTCGAAATTACATGAATAACATAGATCGAGAAACGCCTTCTTATATTACGTTTCGTAAAAAATCCTTGAGGAAACATGTTTGGCAAAGGCGACCACGAGGTACTGAAATCTTCATGAATATAAAGCTTTCCAGAGACGATTCCATATTCTGTAATACCTACCGAAAGTAGGGGATTATCTGAATCAATAACGAACCTACAAAATTGCACATCGTGAAAAAATAAAAATAAAAATTCCGCTAAAATCATGGCACGCTAAAGCTTTGTCGATATCTTCATCTGAATCTTTGAAAGATATCATGAGATGAGGATGACTCCATGACAATAAAAAAACCTTAAAATCCAAGGGACGTTTGAAGTTTTAGCGTACTGGACTTGGCAGAGTGTATATAGGTGGTCATTTTTTTAGAACAAATGGACGATTAGTAGCTCAAAATGCGATGTACACTAGCAAAGAAGTATTCTCCATCCTGCGTTGAATTTATTTTCAGACAAAAGCTTGCAGTGCAACCAGATTTCTCTAATTCTTCGTTTTCTCCACACACATTTTTTTTTTTTTTTCGCGTGAGACTGGACAAAATTTCCCCCGATTCGTTTTTTTTTTCTTTTTAAAAAATCGTACCTACAGAAAACCCGGGGTTGCGATCTGCACGTTGCGCGTACATGTTGTATCTCTATATGGAATTTTAAAATGTCTGCACCTGCCTGCGTAATTTCAAAAGCATTCTGCTGATCATGGGGAAATTCAGCATTCGCGAATCCGGGTGATTGACTTCGTGATCCGAGCTTTGGCCCTTCGGGGGAAATTCAGTGTGTATAGTCTACGCAGTCCGGCGTGTCCCGATCGTCAGTTAGGGTTTCGAAGCACGGGTGGATGCGGAAATCGGACCTGGCTGGCAGGGTCGCGATCTATTTTCGGGTGGCCGGAAATGCGCGTGGGGCGGCGTTTGGTGCGCGATCCCGGCGGCCGAAAGAGATCGTCGCCGACGCCAGCGTCGCACGCAGATTCCGCCCTGCTCCGGTTGAATTCGTGCCATTCTTTTTCCTCTCCTTTCCTTCTCCTCTCAATGCCTGGCACGCATTTTATAATCACCAATTAACAGTGGCATTTTTCGAACTGCAAAAATGGACCACCCACTTATTGTGCGTGATAATTTTATGAATCACATCATGCTCGAATTGATGCGACTAAACGCAGTGCTTTGGTTAGACCTCGCATCTAGAATGAGTGCTGGAAACACTGTTCAGCATCGGGCAAAGTGTCATGACGTGCCGTCCGTGACTAATGAATTCCGCTGAGTAGTTGTGCATACATAATTAAGGCAGTAACAAGCCGAAAATCAAATCATGATGAGTATAGGAAGATCTTGGTTCACATGAAAAATCAATCGGCTATGCATGAATCCAGTTGATGCGCATTCCGATCGGCATATGCACATATATCAAGTTGGAACAAAATATAAAATAGGTCGTTTTGACATATTGAAAAACTGGCAAGAAACCTTTTAAATTCGTTCGAAGTTTCGACATTGCTCTCTCTGAAATTAAATTTAAAAAGTAACATGCGTTCATTTCTTCCTTAACTTTCATCAGACGCGTGATTAAAATATTTCTGTGATTTCAACACTTCTATAATGGTGTGCCGATCCTGGAGGATAAGTGCGCATTTTACATGACGAACGAATCATTCGAGTGAACCAAGTTCCAGTCAGAAATAAATTAAATATGCTGCTCATGAAAAATATATTCGCGAGAGACTTGTGTCAATAAAAAGCTTTTGTTTATTTCCGATTTGCGACGTCTTCGGCGACCTGGACGTGGCCGGACTTGTTTTCAAGCAGAAGGCAAGGAAAATTTGGATATCAATAAAATTTCACGGAAATATTTACTTTCAACGTGGATGCAATTTTTCTCGAGCGTCAGCCAGAAAATCTACCTCTTTTCCAGACCGAGAGGTCAGACAGAGGTCACGAGCAGCAATTTCGGGTTCGATCCGGTTCAGTACTGAGACAAGTTCTACCGGGCCATGGAAAGCTGAGCACGTTCTGCAGGAATGATCTGGCACGAATTCAATCCAGAACCAAATTTAACTTTTCCTGGGAATTCTCTGCGACGTAGATGGAGGCCTCGTGGTCTTGAATTTATATTATTTGCATTCCAATGTTTTATTCAACTGTCGAGATGAGGTCGCCCATTTCATCCCAAGATTATTTGAAATTGCTGCTCTGCGTTATAATCGGAATATGAAATTGACATGGTTCTTCTGTGAAGCATAATTGGTCACAACATGTGATGAGAACATAAATGACGAGGAAGATAAGTTTCATGACTCGTCCTCGGGGAAGAGCGGGTTTCGTGAGATTTTCTTTGCCAGAATTAACTATCCAATCAATATTCCTGATTTTTTCTTTACATCAGTGGCTGAAACCCGGAGATTGAAAGATTCTAATTGCGGCTGCTGAAATTCACTGAAAAATCAAATCTTGCAGAAATAAAATTGCTACGAAAATGATTCAACAATAAGCTCGCCAGAAATAAATTGCAATCGCTCACTCTTCATTATTATCCGATCAAAACACTCATATCCTCAGTTATTTTTCCGAAATAAAAGCCTTTTTTTTTTTAGATGTATAAATCTCGAGTGATGATACGAAATACCGATATGAATTCATGAATACGTTCAAGTGTGCCTAGAAAACATTTGACATAAGCATATCCTCGTGGAAACGAACGTCAATCCAATCTCTCAGGAATTTCACTTCATGAGAACTGATCTGCGAGGAGGATTAACGCTAGAGAGGGGATCAAGGAGATAATTGACATAATCAGTGTAACGCACGCTTGAACTGCAGACGTCGATTGACTCATTGCCATTGTTAATCGCGTCATGTGAAGTCTGCGTGGTTGAATTGATGCTCGCGGACTCATGGAATTGAGTGGTACTTTTTCCGTTACGTTGTTTCGCGACAACCAGGACCAGAACTGGGGGTTCCGGCTCCAGGGTGGCGCTGACCATCGAAAGCCACTCCAGATCCAGCGAGTGAGTCGCTTCTAATGTGGGCCTCGCAAATTGAATCCCTACGTCGTCTGCCTTCGTATGAGTACTTAGTAGACGTGAACCCAGCGCTGAAGTGCAGACATTTAAGTAATACGCCTCCCGGGAAGTTCGACTTTGGAAGCAGCGCGACTCTCGCTTTGATTTCAAAGATCCTCCATCCCACAGAACCATGTTCCAAGCGTTGAGCTATTCTGCTTCGGACCTTTTCCTGACTCGCCTTCGCTCTATGTGTCCTAGAACTGAATGATTCGTGTCTTAGAAAAGCTACTTTTAGAATTATAGTCATGGCATATGCTCCTTATTGGCTAAAAATGAAACCATGGACTTCTTTATGCTCGAGTCAACTCCCCTCCGTGCTATTTCTGTTACCTAATAACTGATCAGCGAACTATCGCGAAATTCAGTTTTTGGATCAATATTTATGTTATCGCTGATCATAATCTGTAGATGATGGAACAAGCCACTTTTTAATATAAAATGAATCGAAGACATGAGGCTAAAAGAAAATGCTGTGAGACGAATGCAGAACAAGAAACCGTGGTGTAGGGAAAATCACGCTTTTATTGATGGGAAAAGAGCGAGTGTCTTTTCTGCAGACTTTATGTCTAAAATTTTAACGCTTGGAGCGGCAGGAACAGCTTGCATTTTACGCATCGTCATTTTGCTTTTTTTTCCCTCGTCGTTATTACTACTGTAGTATGTGATGAGAATGGTTTTCCCATTCATTCGCCACTGAAGAAATGATTGCGTTCATGAAATGGATGTTTTGCGCTTCGCAGGTATTTCCGGGGTCGCCAGCTGACGGGAATTTGCAGCGTGGCGACATGGTTATGCGCATTCAGAATCACGACGCTGCTCAAATGAGCCACTTGGAAGCACACGATGCCTTCAAAGCTGCTGGCAGTCAAGTCAGCCTTTCCGTGCACAGGTAAAGAATTTTTTTTTTGTTTCGTGCCTCCTCAAGAGTTCCCTAGGGTTTTTCATGTCGGAGGGGAAACACTGATTATTTTCGAAGAGCCGGAACACGCGTAATCATTCTCTTTATTTATTCATCGAATATACTCGTGGCTGTTCAGTGGTAAGAAATGAAGATTCGATCACAATTACCCATAATCGTCTCAGGAATCTCGAATATTTCATTAAGATTGAGCATGATTGGGGAATTGTGAGCACTTATAGTAGACTTTCCGGTTTCTCTGGAATTGGGCGCGCGCACATTGCTATATTCAAAGTCGAAATAATTTAAGGAATAATCCATCTACATAATTCAAAAATTCGGAGATTGCATGTGAGCGACTTAAAATTGAAATCCCATCAGCAATGACATGTTGCCAGCTCAATTCGTCTGATAGTCGAAATCATCATAGCTTTTCCAATCATATGGAGTTCCAGGAATGCTCTAGATCTATAACGTTTCTACTGATGTGAATGATTGCAATAATTTAAGAAATGTACACGGGAAACCTTCATTATTCGAATGAGTTACTCCATGCTTTCATCCAGATGATAAAATAGTCGTAAATAATTGTTAAGAACAAGCCATTTTTCCACAATACCCCGTAATGAAAAAGGCGACCTTCCATAATCTCGAAGAGATCAAATAACGAGACATTTTTACAGAGACTTCCAAGATGTAAAAATAAAAATAAAAGCCATTCGTGATTATATGGAGATAACGTTACTTGAAACTTATTGGAATTGTTTTTCATTCCAAGCATGAATAATTGAGGTTCTCCTCTAGGTGAAGTTGGACTAACTTTCTCGGTTTCTCAGTGTGTATTGAAAAATGCCATCTTAGTCATGAGAGTTGCGGAAAAATCGTTGCAACACAGTCGAAACTGTTTCCTCTGGAACCAAAAATTCAAATTAATCTGAGTGTTTCCTTAAACTAGAAAAATCAGCAGAAAAATAACATGGTGAACATAGTCTTCAATAAAATTTCGGAGTGAGGAAAAAAGGCGTTCGCGAACGTATTTATCAGCATGCTACTTACATAATCACAGTAAATTGTTGTCATGGATTCTCACGTGAGAGAATGAGATTTTCTTTAAAGATTAGAATGCTGAATGAATTTAAAAATACTGGAAGAATGTAGTCTTGGTCGAGAGAATGAGAATAAGCGGGATGTGTGTATAGACACGCGCCGCCTGCCCAAACGCCGCTCATCAGCCAGATGGCCATCGGCGGCGGCGTTTCTCCGGGCCGCACGCGGTCGCCGATGCCCGGTGAGACGACAACGGCGTCCATGACGTCGACATCCATGATGTCGACTTCCATGTCGACAACGACGACTACTACTCAGCAGCAGCAGCAGCAGCTTGTGACTGAAATGCTGCCTGCGCCGACGCTGGTGCCGACACTAGACCGTCGATCCTCGACCCGGACTCAGGTCAACGAGTCCTGGCAGCGTGAGATCGAGAAGCAGGCCATTCATCACCAGGTAGAAACGGATAGGCGGCAACCACTCCCGAATGCACTTCGTAGGGAGAAGTGGTGGCCATCTGGTCGACAGGCGGACTTGTCAGCACGGCAAGAATGTTCCTATATTCTCTTGCTGAGAGTCCCTGCAACAGAGTAGAATGACCTCCCATGCTCTCTCACGTAAATTTTAAATCACACTGCTGTTTTTTCTAGATATTTCATGCACAGTTTTTTTCTTATCATTCCCTGTTCACTCATGCGTCTTGCGTTTTTGTTGAGGTCCTTCGAAGGAAAACAAAATCACTACAGTACATGGTTTTATCTGCTTTTGTCTTTGTTTCATTTTATTTTATACTCCTCTATATAGACACTTAAAAGGGAGTAAAAATCCTGAGTCTGCCATCTGAAAATTTTCACATGACCTGGGCTTAGGGTTCGAATTGCTTATAACTCTGATATGCACTTGTAATAGTTCAGGATTAGAGTATTTCAGTATTACTCCATATTTGATTGCAAGTAATCCTTTTAAAGCGCCATAGTTCGCCCTCAAAATTGTTTAAATCGACATGGAGTCCACGTTCAAAACTCAATGACTTCATTTCGTGGTTCATTCTATATAGCGTAACTGGCTATGGCATCTCATATTACAGATGGTCTATGTTTAATTTTTTGAAAAGTATTCGCAAATACAATCCGTGATTTAGCTTTTGGAAAAATAAAAGAAAAACTGTTCATAGGAGAAGTCATTTCGATACGTTTACAATGTTAGTCCAAACGCGTTTCATCATCAAAACTTGCAGTTTTTTAGGGAACCTTTTGCGAAGTTTTGAAAATAATCGCTTTGAATAGCTGAATTGATTTTTTCTCTATATTGGGAACCAAATTGATCCCGATTCTGAGTTCGAAACGCTAATGGACACAGCACTTGCTGGAATCAAAAATCGAATGGAACTCGGAATGAGTCGGTGTAAAATTAAAAAATAAACAATCGTGACAACTATAGGGACATTTCTAGGCCTTTACAAATGAATGCACGAATAAGAAAAAACAAACTTTAAAATGTGGTTCATGAATCACAAATGGTTTCGCCGCCCAGCAACTTCCTTGTTTTCCATAGGAACTCATCAAACGCGAAGGATTGTTCAAAATACCAGATTAAACAAGTACAGTATAAAAATTTCTTGGTTCCCATTTTTTGAGTGAAAATAAGCTAGATAAAGTTGCTAAAATGCATGCCGATTTTGAAAGCTATAATTGACACGATGCTTTAACTATCGTCGCTGAAAAAAATTTGAGGCGCACGCCAGGAATTGAAATTTTGTTTAAAATAACTTCATGATCATTTATGTCTATAGGCACTGATATCGCAAACTCTTCTTGCGCCGGGGAATTAGTTCGCCTTCGACCAGCTGGTGAACCGCTTGAGAGTGGTTTTCAACGCGTTTGCCAAGGGTTCTGGTAGGCATTGGTTGGGAAACGGCTTTGGCAGTAGGCAGCTTGTGAAGTAGCCTGCACCTGGTCCAGTACAAGCAAAATGTGCATCTTAGATCCGTTTTCTCGTGTGCTTGGTCGTTTGTTTCACTAGGGATCGTAGCCCAGGCCCCTTATTTCATCCGCAAACGGTAAAGCACGTGATTCCCAACTATGGACATCACAGTCTGCGCAGACCATTCGCGCACGCCAGCAGCGGCACCCGCCGGAACACCGAGAAGCACGACATTCAACAACAGGTAAACTGACTGCCCGAACCCATCCTGTCGAGGCATATTGGTCAGAAACCGCATCCACCAATCACTAAGACAAATTTCTACGTTTTTTTTTTTTTTTTCCAAACACCGTTTGTTTTATTGTCCGTTTCCCAGCTACAGGTGGACTCTTTCTACAACGGTTTCCTTTCACAGCGGCCTTATCAGAAAACATTTTTTTTCCCCTGGCGCTGAAGTACAGCACGTTTTTTAAGCAGCTCCTCTGCAAGAAGTATTTTTGGGTCGCTCAGTATTATCTAAGATAGAGTCCACCTGGTTTTTGTTGACCGAAATGAAATGACTGAAATGTCACGAGGAAAAACAAACTCCTTGCATCTCGGGAAATCCCTTCGAAATCATGAAAACGTCATCTCTCAAAGCAGCGTTTTCTTTGTTCGTTTCAAGGTTTATGCTTCTTTGCAAATTTAGGAGTAAACGATGAGATACGAGAGCTCTAGCACGTCATTTATGAAGAATTATTGTTCTTACTGCACTTTTAAAACTCCGTGTTGAAATAAATGGGGCATTTTCTCATAATTCCAGTATAAGAGAAATTAAGGATATTTTTTCTGGCGATGAGTGCTTGGCAATAAGGTCTTGGCTTATACCTCTCTCACATACCAGGGATGAACAAGAGGTGCTGCAAAAATCGTAAATTTCAAGTAAAAGTAAAAAAAAAATCAAGTGGATTTCCGAAAGCTTCAAATGCGCATTTTTTTCAACGAGAACTTAATTTATTCTGGAATATTTTTTCCCCGCAGTGGAATATTGAGATTATCTAAACTACCCTGATTTGAATCACTCACCTCGTGATATGACTGTCATTACGGCATATTTTGTGTTTTGGTTTTCCATGATGCTTCAGCTCAAACCTTTCTCTCAAACAGAAGAATAGGCTTTTAGTTTCATCTAGACTTAGTGTCACGATTGAAAATCAAGCTTTATAAAGTGAACCGACCAACAATTACAAAACGGTTGAATATTTTGGAAGAGGATCCCAATTATATTCCAATTTTGGGCAGATCTGGGACTTCGCAGTACGTTATTCTTGAGGTGTGAAGTTTCTGTGATGGTTTTAGGATACCATATTCATTCCAGGTAAATAAGGAATAATCTACTTTCTCATCGGCCACTTCTTCCTGTGTATGGCGCTTACGCGAGATGTTTCCAAAGCATTTGAAAAAAGAATCTCCGTCAGCCGAAGTACAATTTGCACTTTTACACCGGAAGACCCAGATATTTGCTTGCCAAATGTTGTGGGAAGGGGTACGCGTAATAGTAATACACGAGTGAATACGAACCGCAGAAATGACTTTAAGTACAATTAAATCCTCTGTTGACTGCCCCAAATTTTACGCAAATTTGAACAGCAACTTTTTTCTAGAAAATGACGTGCAAAACCAGGATTCGGTCATGTTCGAGATATTTCGAAAAGGGTTAACTCTAACATCATGAGATAAATAGGCAGCGATGAATACAGGGGAGAATGATGTTGATTCCGCTCAATTCAAAAATGAGATACTTATGCTTTCCTGAGCTGCAAAATACAGTTGTACCGTAAATGTTTCCTCAATGAATCCATGACAAGTTTGATTATTAATTATATCGTGTCCAAATAACATTGACGTAAAAAGCACAGCATGGTGAACAACCATTTTTTAATGCAATTTTTTTTACTAGGTTCTCCCGTATTCTGAAAATTCGACTTTTCTGTCTTTTTATAGGAAACTGTTGCCAAAAAAATATTTTTTCTGTTTACAGCGTTTTTTTTTAGAAATTGCCGCCCTATTGATTCATGAAGCGTGGATATACGTAAGAATAATATTTTCAGCAATTGGACGTAAAATAGCACAACCAGGATGTTTCCGTAAGCTGCTTAATTTCAGCTTGACAAAGTTAATTTCTGTCCCAGCTGAGCTGAGTGGAAGAAATGCAAATTTCAATGGTCTTGTCAGATGACTTCCCAGCTTAATTAGGCATCAGTAATGCAGAAAAAAGTTCCCTTTAGAGCTATTCTGTTAGAATCAGGCATCTTCAGAACTCGAAGATGAAAAATTCAATTTATTTCCAAGCTTCGTCTATACATTTATGAGCAGTTTTGGGTCAAGTAGTTTTCAAAAAAAAAAAATGTCCGGTACCAACACCACTGCCCGAGGATTACGTAATAAATCAACACCCACGGAAAACGCGGTTAGGAATATGAAATCAGGAAACACGTACAGCAGCGTATAACATTGAAAAAAAATATATGTATAATATAAACCTGGACAGCCCAGCGAAACTTCGCGGAAGGTTGAAAACGTCGTGGGGGGTGCGTAGGCATGGATTACAAGTCCAGTACTTGGGAAAGGAAGCAGGGATAAGAGCGCTAGTATTGAGCCGTTAGTGCTGGCTAATGTGACTGCAAGCATTTGCTGTCTCTGTCATCTCGCGAAAGCCGAGCATAAGTTCGCCTCCCCTCTGATATTCTTCCTGTATACTCACCTTCGACTCGTCCTTGCCGCTGCTGCGCTGCCCGGAACAGGTCGTCCTGCCAAGATTCTTCCGTGACCCAGAACCTGGATTCACGAGTCTACTAACCCCTGTGTGTGTGCTGTGTGGATGTGTGATGCGAGTTTTCCATGGGGCTGGGTTGCAGCGAAAGCGAACCTGCGTCTCAGTGGGGGCACGTGAACTGGCTTTTTTTTTAGTTGACGAAGCTTCACTGGATCTAAATCTCACTGTTCATCACAGATATAAGGAATAGAGTATTTTCATGGGGTTGTATTCCATATTCAAATGGAGCGAGGCTCAAATTCCAGAAATTCACGACACGTGTTTCTCAATCAAGAAGCCCGACCGATTTCGAATGATTATTCCCGTTTAAAATGAGCCAGCTGTGTTGATGAACATTTAAACATTTTTTGACAACAGCTTAAAGGGTTACAACCTTAGTTCAAAGGCACGCGTCAGTTCTAAAAAATCAAAAAGTGAGGCAAATGCGGATCTTTTATGCCTTCCAACCTACTAGCCTCGCATATCTCTTGAATTATATATTTCATTTTCTGTCTTATTTGGAGTATTTTCAAATTCACTCCGTTGCATGGTGGAAGAAAAAGGTCATTCAGAATTTATTGACAATGTCCTCTTCCATCGATGCACTGATTTCACAGTTCATGGGATGATTTTATACGATTTCCTGCAAATGTCTATAGTAAAACGATGTTTTGATAAATTTGAGACTATCGAGACTTTACCACACTCGTGATCAATGTTGAATGGCGCATTTTTCTTTTCTTTTTAATGGTTACAAACTTGGGGGAATATTTCAATACTTGATCATATGAACTGCTCCATTTTCAAATTACGGAGTCTGAAGAAGTTGGGAAATTTGGACTGCGCATGAAAGTTACACACCTCTTGGATTTCGTCTTAAATCTAAAATCCATGATTGCCCTAGTTTGTCTAGTGTCACCTTCAGAGCTCATTTTTACGATGTCTTCAGTGCAAGGAATATTTTATTTGGATGGCTCTCCATTAACAGCATATGTCTGCGACAATAATAAGGGCAAATTTTTGAGATAGGACTTATGGGTGATCATTGTGCTAGGTCTTCGTCATGTTATCTGAAAATGTCGTAAACCCCGTGAAGTCGGTCTGAAGACTCCGAACCGCGGCCAAGTGACATCGCTATATGCATTAGATGCTCTAACAAACTAACGTGTTTGCTGATGCCGTGAAAGAACTTCATCAATTATAAACCGCTCAAAAAAACTCCTTGGCTGATCTTTTCGGGTATTTTGCCCTTTCATTCTTGGATTCGGGGTTGCAAAGGCTTATCGCACGTTGCCGCTGATCACACCTAGCGTGAAGGTGAAGCGAGACCTGCCGATCGGATCCTACTTACGATTCCAATACGACCCGAAAGCTGGACCTCCGAACCTTGATGCCTATGGGACTGAAGAGCTACATGCAGAGCATGCCGGTGGTCACGGCAGTGATGCCGCCATGAAACAAAGTGTGCGTATGTTAAATATTTCACCAGCAGAATAGATTTAAAAAATAGGCTCTTCTTAAGTACACAAACAGTCATATATGTTTTTATTATAAATAGGATTGTGATTGGCTATTTTAAGCCTTTCTTAGAGTTTGAAGTTAACATAATTTTGTGGGATGAATATGTAATCATTTCTGCGCATATGTTGAAATTTTTGCTCAGAAAGGTTGAAATGGAGAAAATTGCAAAAAATTAGCCTGCTAATGAAAAAGAAACCTAGAATCAAAAGTGGGTTATTTTAGGTTTAAAAGACAGGAATACCACAAAATCTCCAAATAAGAATAGATTAGAAGTGCAGGAGCATCCATGCAGCTCATAAGCAATATATAATACAAAAAGTTCTCTTTAGAGACATTAGCAGTGTATATGATACTATCCGGAGGAAAATGAAGCATTCTTGGCTGGCATTTTATGAGAAACTGACTTCATTCCCGAGTGCCAACAATAAAATTTCTTAACAGAAAAGGTCAAAACATAAAAGGAAATCAGATTAAAGATAACAACACAATAACCAGTCCACTGGGCTCGGGCGTCTCAGCATATATAATCAGATTAAAAACACAATAGCTTCTTGAACGATAAAATAATTCTGAAGCTGTCAAAAAAAGCTCATTCATTTGTCTAAAATCTATAGCCTGTGTATCTAGATTAAAATACTGTACCGGGATCAATGCATGCACCCAATCTGAGCTATAAGTAACTCTCAGCAAGCAACCGAAAAAAGGGAATATATTTGATTCTGCTCTAATATGGACAAAATTCTATTTAATCTGAAGTAACAGTCAATTTATAACAATTTTTATTTTACGTCCAAGGTCAGTAGCTTATTTTCTTTAAGAAATAATTTTTAAGCAACATACTGCATTTGTATCATTGGAAATGTAAGTTGGGACATTCTTGTGTCGTGTGACTCGCGTCCCCACTCCAAGTAGGGTTTACGTGCCACACTTTAACTTTTCAGGAATTTCACAGCTATTTCATGATCACCGTTGAATATTTGACAAGTTATTGCCTGAACCCTTCGCTTACAAGTAATGTATACCGATGCTGGTTGCAAAAGTAGCCTTTATTGGACGCTGATTGGCAAGGAAGAAGTTGGCTCAGTCAACACAAAAAAACAATTATCCACAACTGAACATCGGATTGAAAGTCTAATCATTAATCTCATTGCTTCATTTTATTCTGACTGACGAACTTCGGTACCCCAAAAACTTTCCTTACACGCTGGATCTGACGAAACATTTGAACTATCACTCGTATGAAATCTCTAGCGAAATTTTTATTCTTATTGCAAAGTTTGCACTACATGTGCGATTTCCCGAAGGGCTTTCAAATCCTGAACTAGCTGCAGCTAAAGAACAGAGTTAAGAGAGGAAGAGTTTTCAAAGTTTGAGGCCATAGTTAAGGTGCCAGAATGCGAAGGGTACTAGAGTCCTCCGTTCTGCTTCCTTTGAAGCCTGACATCTTTCTGGGGGGCTAGGATTACTCTTTGACAAGGAAATGGCTTTTTCAGCTTTGAAAAGGGCGTTGAATATTTTCAAAGACATTGAAGAACGCTGGCAGATGACGTGCAGATTGTAATGGTGGATGGATTCTGAAGAATTTCCGGTACAGGTTGAGAACTGTGCCAGGAGTCCCAGGACAGACATGTTTATCTTTCACGTTTGAACATTTGCAAAATAACCATGGACGATTGGGAACTCTTATTTCCACCATTAGGATAAATAATGAGAATTGAAAATTATTTCATACATGTACTCCAGAAATAACTCTTGATCTAAACTATCTTCGACCTACGTTAATGTACTTGCAGCATGAAGTTGTGAGTTTAAAATTGATCTGGGATGTACAAGTTGGCATTCGTTTTTGTGTCTATGGTTTTAAGGCTTGATTTTCAGCAGAAAACAGTCACAGAATACTTTGTAGACATAACGGTAGTATTGTATTGACTAGATTGAAACCGTACCTTGGAAAACTTTCTTAGAGTAGTATCAACAGCGAGTCCCGTAGTTAAATAAAACAAAATTCGGAAATTCGTCGGTCAATTCTTACGAAGGAAATTATTCACATTTAAATAAGTTTACTGAGTTTTACCCGGAATGCGCAGTTGGAAAGATTATGAATAAGTTTAAGCATAATATCTTGGAGAATCCCGAAAATTCGGGTATGAACGGCGTGCAAGAGAAATTCTGGTCTCTCGCTCTTCGAAATTCATGTGATCCGTGCGTGTACCGAAAACGTTCCCGTTTTGTCGATACTCTAGTTCCAACCGAAATTCTTCTGCAGTGAGGAGTACTGGTGGAAATGCTCAGTACGAATGTTCGCATTATAATCCTGGTCACTCTTGACTACAATCCGTTTGTTCTTGCGGGAAGTAGATTATATAAGAATTCCAGTTTAGATTCCATCTCTTCCATCTCGTTGTTCTCCATGAACGAGTAGAAAATTCTCCACGGGAAAAAATGACATGTTTTCAGGGCATCTGAAATTCAGGATTGAGTCTATTATTTTGCCATCATACTTCATAGGGATATTTTTAGCTCTCAGCAAGAGCGAACATAAATGCTTCGCTTTCCAGTGCGACTTGATTCTATTTTTGCTGTTCGAACTACTTCTCTAAATTATATAATAAAATCGAACCACGGCTTCACGCTAAGCAGAGCTCGACATGAAAGAAACATCTTATAGATTAAGACTTGGGTCATTGTTTCACATATACAAAGGATCCATCACAAGGGAGCACTCCTAGAAACCGATATATCATGAACCACTTTTAATTTTTTAAAGTTCGCCTATACAGTAATTTCATCGGCAAATAAATCCCATTTCCCATAAACAGATGGGAGAATACGCACTGAGTGTATATTAAAAGTAAACTGTGACTCGCGTCGAATAACCGGGATAATTTGAATTGAATATAATGCCATTATGATTTCTGTGTTACAAGTTGGGTTGGTATCATATACGGTTTCATGTTGAAGATAAGAGAATAGCATGTCTTACACGAATTAAAATACTTGGGCTTACGACATTGATATTCCAAGGATTCAAACATGTCGAAGTACTTCAATGCATCCTCATACCCTATTTTATTCCAGTTTTTCTTGAAAGGAATCATTCTTGGAGAAACGCGCGTTCTCAACTTGAATTGATCATTAACTTTGGAAATTAGTCTAATCTGTGAGATGAAAATTAGTTTTAAATGGCTTTTCGAATTTTCAATAGTTGGTATGCTGAGATCAGTTCATCAGGTGAACTTTTTTGCATTTCACGCGAATTATTGCAAGAAAGACCGCTCCAAAGTTTTCATGACGCCATTATTTTTTCTTGAGACACGTGCAGGAGACTGAATTAAAGCTTACTTGTTGTCAGCCAAAAATTCGAGAGATTTAGCATAGGAGAACCTCTTGAAGGCGTTCGTTAACCCTGTTGAAAGCTAATCAGATGCCTAGCTTGGGGAATCGCATGGGATTTAGAAAACAGATATACACAGGACTCATGGTCACATATTCCATTGTTACTGATTACAGGTGGACTCTCTCAACAACAAAACTCCAGGGACCAGAAAAAAATTCGTTTTAAAGAGAATTTCGTTGTAGAGAACCCCTGTAACACGGGGAGAGAACCCTATGGAACCACGAAAAATACGTTATACCTAGAAAATCACTATAGCGACGAGAGGTATTAATTAGCCTAGTAATGCAAAAATTAATGATTTCCACAGGAAGTTTTTGTAAGAGGCACTGGTTAGTGATGGGGTCGTATTGCAGGTTGCGGACGCAGTGACGAACGTGGCAGCGACCAAATTCTCTTCGTTCCCGATCGCCGAAAACAAGACCGTGGTGAACCAGCAGTTCAACTCGCCCATCAACCTGTACTCCAAGGAAAACGTGCAGCGAACGGTGCAAGAACAAACTGGGCTGACTCCGTGAGTCGTCATCCCAGGCCGGGTTAGGCCAAACCCAAAACCCAGCCCCAGCTGCGGTGGGTCAACGTTGACCTGCCGCAGACAAAGTAGATACTTGTTCTCGACCTTCCCGCTTTTTCCCCCCTTCCTTCCTCCTCGAGCTGTCGGAGCAGGTTTATTTCCGGGCGCGCGATAATGAGCGCCAGTGCCTGACTTTTCGCTTCTTTTCTTCTCTTCTCTCCCCACCTTTACTCCTCCGTCGTGGACTAACTCATCGGGATTATTGGCACCGTCGCAGAATTTTCATTGACCTGTCCTTCCTCCGGTTACGCCGGCACACGGAACCCTACAAACCCCCGAAGCCCAATTACCTGCTGCCTCGACACCGTGATCAACGTCCCCAGTGATTCTAACCCGAGTCGACGGCACTCACACAGCGCTCATGCTTATTGAATAAACCTCGCGGTGGGGTGACTTTTGCCGGTTAATAGCGTGGCGGGAAATGCTCATGAGAGGCAACCTCACACGTTCCTCGCACGGAGACCGGATGAGTTTTCCCTGGGCTTCAGAACGCCCCGGAAAACCCATCTTCTCTCATCCACTCGAGGGAATCCCTTTTCCAAAATTCCTCACTTTACAGCATGATCACCCGGAAAAAATATATCACAATAGTACCGGTATACCCCAACATTGCTCTGGCTATAGCAACCATTATTGAGCCTGGCTTCCTTTCCCAAGTTAAAAACAGATATTTTTATGCACTCTATGAGAAACACGTTTCAAAGATACATGTTAGATGTGGACTCTGATCATCTGATGTAAGTTCAAGTGATCCAAGTGAGGAATCGGGTGTCCGCTTTTTGGGAAGATGATGCACTTCTTCGAGGTTAAATTTGAAATACAATAGAGCATTGCTACAAAAGAGAAACTGGGACCTAAAAAGAGTCAATAAAGTATAGCAAAAATGGATCATATGTGGCTAAACTGGAAGGACCGAAAAAATCAATTTGGATGCAAGTATGAATAATATTGAGACTCTGGTAATAAAAGTCCAATACTGCGCTGTAGTTGTAAATACAGGTGTCCTTATCTCGAGTAGCTGTAGAGAACCTTTTAATGTTCAAAAAAATTTAAGTCAGAAGTGATACTTGGCCGGATGGTGTGCATTCATGAGGTTATATGTGCAATGAAAACTAACTTGTTTTCAATGTGGTACAATTCAGAAAAAAGCTGTAAAACTCTGACCTAAATCATTCCAAACACGATTCAAGGGCCATTTAGGCACGCTCAACAGTTATTTTGGTGATTCAATGCACTAAGTGATTACAATGTGCAAAAAAATCTCAGAGCTCTGTGAGATTTACATGGATTCGAGTGGGTCGAGCTGGAAAATGTCTTTTTTTTTTTACAACTGAAGACATTCGGTACTTTTCAATTACATGCGAAATCAGTGCAAATTAAAGTTGATCATTAGTTCTACTTACCCCGTCATTGACGATAGCAGAAAATTTACTTTTGTTCAGGTGTGATGTTTTCCAAAATATTACAAGAAACTTTTATATCGAACTGAATAAAGGTTTTGAAAGAATTTGAGAAACGAGGCTATCGATGTTCACACGATCAAAGATCTATATTTACCAGAAAATGAATTCTTATTTTCACCAAGATTGGATGGGTTGGGGTTCATCTTGGCGCTTAAAACTTTGCATGTGAAAGGATCACATTTGACCAGCTGAACTTTTGAATGAGAATAGAGTTTCGAATATGATTATAAAAAAACACGCAATACTTAGTCGATTCAGGATAGCACCGGCAAAGCTGTGCCGAATGCTCAACAAGAGCAATGGTGTTTCATCATGGCTGAAGCAACATTTATTCTTGTCAAGGATCTGGCGATGAAGTTCTGTACAGTACTCTAATCTGATTTTTTATCAATATTTGAGAGCTTGTATATACGTGCTTCTTATATACACGTGTGTAAAATTGTTTCGAATTTCGAGGTGGGAAATAGGGATCCTAGAATTGGTGGTGTCTTTCATTTGGGTAACTGTGGTATGACTTTGCATGTGGAATCAATGGTGTCCCTGAGCCGGGGGACTTTTCAAAAGCTTACCAACCGAAGGTTGAGTAACCAGTTTCTTTGAGGTTTGGATTGAGGGGAAAAATATGTGCTCGCTAAGCGTACATGACACTATCCCCATACTAATAACCGTGTGTAGTTGGCCTGCACTCGACTCATAATTGCATCATCGCTCAGACCTGGAATCCCGGTGCCCAAACACTATGACCCCATGAAATCGCCGACGTACCACGCGCTGCAGGAGATGCAGGACAAAAGAGAGCAGAAACCGGTGCAATCCAAGGTGTACACGGCTCCACAGACCGTGGGACATCAACAGCAACAACACGTTGGTTTATTTTTTGGTGGCCTTATTGATAAAATTATTGATCGGATGATTAATTGGAGTGTGCGCCAAGGAGCGGAAAGTTCTGCTCGTTAAAAATCGCGTTCCGCGTATGCACTTTATGCGAAGCGATGTTCGTCCCTCGCACTGGTTATTTGCGGTCCCAAGTTCCACTTGCGTGATTCAAGGAAAACCCATAACCTCTTTTTTTTTTCAAGTCGAACTCCTCGTTTGCCATTTCATACCACCAGGAGTTACTTGTACTCTCTGATTTTTTAAATATTTTATTAGTGCTCATTAATTCAAATTTCCAATAACGTTATAATGATGCAATTTAATCTTCTCGACTTCTCCAAAAATCGAAGAAAACAGATGACATAACCGTGGGGAGATTTGAAAGTTCGAAACAATGGAAATGAAACTAGAACGCACGGTTAATTGGTATTTTAAAAAATCGCGGGTACGCATTTTTCTTTTAATCATGCGTCGATTTTCGAACTGTGACATTGGAAAAATTCGATATTCTGCATAAAATTAAAAACCGGAATATTTGACCTTGAAAACTGATTCTGACCCATTTTTATGATTCTGGAAGCATTAATTAATGTCTAGCATGAGCATTAAAAAATATGGCCATAAAGACAATGTTATGTTTTCTCTCTGAATTACTGAGACTTGTTATTGAAAAAAAAGGTTTCCGCATACTTATTCGTGTCTTTATATACAATAGTTCAAACTTCATTTGTCTGACGATCATTACGAATTAGCAGATGATCAATTCAGCTGTTCGTAATGCTAAAACTTTCTGATAATTTCATAACTCGTTATTGGAAAACTTTCTTCAAGAGAACCCCTTGGCGGAAAAATCCAGCTTTTCTTCTTCTCTCAGGTATGGGGAAAACAACATAAGCACATTTTTTTAATAAAATGTCTTCCAAAATCGCAGATTCGTAGCACTAATCAGCCAATAAATGTTGATTGGCTTAGCATTCTTTTAATAAAACATATTTCCATGCGTAATATTTCCATGAGATTTGCTTCGAACTTTTGGATCCCCACGATTTATAAGAAATGAAGCGAGGACTGGAACTGATTGAAAAATAAGTGGGTTCAATAAGCAACTTCTTTAAATTTCGTAGGAACTTTTTTGTAAACCAGGGAGTGAGTGTATACTGATGAAGATTTTAATTACTTCCCAAGGCGCACATAGGGCAGGATTGATTTATCGGTTTTGTCCGGGTTGATGCATCGATTCCTTCCTTCGCAGCTGAACCAGCTTGGAGTGGCTGATGGAAAGATCCTGCAGAGCTACAGCTTCAACAGGGTCATGATGGACGTGCTCGGCGAGTCCGCGCTTTAAGCGCCTGACTACATCGACACTCATGCGTATTCGCTCGGATACCTTTTCTTCTTGGCGCTTTTTTCCCCCCCAAAAGAGCAAGATCACCTTGAGAGTTTAAAAAAGTTTGATGAATTTAACATTGACAGTACAGGATTTGTGTGTGTCTTCGAATCCGACGCGGATCACCTGCGAAAGTCTTTTCGCCAGTTTGTCTCTCAATTTTTTTTTCCGGGCCACTTGAAGGGCTTTAATTCTTTTCAGAAGACGAAGTAAATCGCTGAACGACGACGGTTAGGTGGATCCTCATCAATCAAGAAAAAATATTTCTTTTTCGATCGACTCCGTTTTCTATTTTTGAGCCTGGGTTTTCTGTTCCTAAAATATGAACCAGCAGTAGCATCACGAAGAATTTTTTTTTTTTCAATTTATATCGAGTGGTTCCTGGGACTAGAACAGTAACTGATTGGCGAAAAATTCTCGATTCCCTGAGCTTGTCTTCAAAGCTGTTCTTGCTCTGACGAAAGACAGTGGGTGATGGCCACTTGTGTTTTTGATGTTTGTGTCGCGTTCTTTTGCAAACGTGTTTCACTTATCGGGCGTGAAATTTTGAGAAAAACCCTTGAAAAAAAAATGAGGATTTAGTGAACTTGCTGATGGTACTGTTTCTGCGACTGACTATTGCCTTTCGCTCGTCCGTCCACCGACGCGCCTGGCATTCGAATCATTTCAGAGCTGCGAAAATTTCCTGGCTGATTCCAGACGCGCGAGTTTTTCCTCGATTAATTTTCGCCTTAATCCCCCCTCGGCTTTCATATTTCTTTTTCTTTTTTCGGCCAGCGTGTCTGAGACGAGACGCTCGATTGTGTGCGTATATGTGGTTGAACGCATGTATGTGTGTGCTCTGGGTACTGGGTTAATCGTGGTTCGTTTTTTCAAGCGTGCACTTGAGCAGTAGTAGTCAGCGCTGTATTTCGCACTCCGCATTGGAATCCCGGTGAGACCGAGTCCCTCCTTCAGGCGGCACGCGGCGATTTTTCTTTTCTTCCTGATTTGGGAAAAAAACGCTTACGACGCGTGTCCTCTAATTGCTACTCACGGCGTTTCGTTGTGAAATCACGCGTCCATGCACATCGCGAAATGAGCAAAACATGAAGAGAAATAGAAATGGCAATGATTATTCGGAATGCAGCTCGCGCACGTATATTTCCTTGCTTTCCTCTTTCGTCGAAGGAACGCACACAAGTGCTGCTTCCACCTTGGGCCTCGGGTCAAACGTGATTTCCTCGCCGCCTTCGCACATCGCAAACGAGATTTCTCTTTTCACCACTCCTCTTCGTAGTATACTAATGAGGAAACTTCGTGGGAAAGAATCACTGCCGGAATCGAACGAACGCACGCATCATCCGGGATTTACATCCTTGAAATAATTTGCTTCACGTCTGCGAAGATTCTGGCAAGAACAACCGTTGAAAAAAAAAACTCATGGCTTCACTTTGAGACTGAGCAAAAAGACAATATGCTGAACGCTGTGCTTCTCTTTCGGAGTTTTTGTGATCATGCTGTGATTTAAGCCCATTTTTTTTAATATCGGAAGGCTATGATCAAAAATAAAATATTTATGTAAATATTAATACCTTTGCAAAAATGAAAAGGTTGCGATGCGGCCAATCGCAGTCGGCATTCAATGCAGTCAGAAGGGTTTAAATTGGATAGCCTTATTTCTTGGCAGCTTTTTGTTGAGCGATGAAAGGTCTAGCGTTATTCCACAAATCTCTGCTCTTATTTCATGCCATCGTGTTTTGGGGAAACCTTACAACGTGCATTGTTTGAAAGTATTCATGTTGCTCTGGGTATTTTCTGCATTAAAAAAAAAAGAGAAAGACGAGCGTGCATGCCTTGAACAAAAAAGGATTCAGCTCGAAAAAATGTGAACAGCAATAATCTACAATACTTTAAAATGCTAATGTGAGCTGCGAGTTTACGTTTTTCTACAAGGGATCATTTTTCCCGGACAGAGGTGTCGTTGAAAGCAATAAAGGAGTGCTATCCGAAACAAAAATCACTCACACGTAACGCAGTGTGAGTAAAAAGATACCATATAGGCGTTTGTTTATAGGGGTGCCATTTTTCGATATTCACAAAAATATGTATAAACATTCCCGCATGAAAACACGGAGAGTTCTCCAAGGAATGACTTTTCAAGCGAAAAGGGTGGCCGATCGTAATGTGGTGAGTGACTCGCGAGTGTCATGACCTCTGAGCTCTGACACAGAAAAGAGTTCAAAAAACAGAAAAACGCTCAGCAGCCTCTTCTTATTCGACAGGAAATTTTGCGAAGGAGTTTTAAACGGCGTTTTGCCGTTTTAGTTTTATTCCTAGGTATAATAAGTGGCTTGAAGCGGACATGGAAACGTCCCACTCAAAAGACACTGCTCTTTTTTTCTGGACTGAGACGAAGAGTGTTCACTTGCTTGGTAACACGCAAGACTTTTCTAGATGAAAGTAATTTTTTCAGGGAAATATGCATTAGTATCACGGATTCGAAAAAAGAATCGATCGAAGAAAGCAAGAGGTTAGAGTGGAACATTGACATGGGCGACGGACTCAAAAATCTCATCAAACATGAAAGGGAATTGCATAGAACTAAAACTGATAAACTTACGAAATTCGAGTTTGAACCAGCAGTGGTGCTCGATGTGGAAAAAACCGTTACCATGTCTTGTAAATGGAGTAAGCACCAGATGTCCTATCATTAAAATTATTTCGTCAGGGTTTCTGGCCAAGAAACATGCAATACAAAATAGAGCCCTGGGCAACAAACCCAATGTCGTTACATTGCTTGGGAAACATTTTTTTCCAAATCATGATTAATCTGTTCCTCTGCCACAGAAAAAAAATTAAAAATTGATTACATTTTAAAAAGTGCACGAAAAAAATACACCGTGCAGCTGCTGTATTGGAAGCAGAATGATATTTAATTTTGATCCAGATTTTATTTCCTCTTTGGAAGAATAATCTTAATTTCGAAAATTGAATTTTTGCAATTTTGGAGCCTTGGAACACGAAAGTCTTTTTCCTTTATTTCCGGTGACTTTAGGTTTCTTTCTCAAGTAACCCGCAGCTGGCAAAATAGCAGAATAACCGGTGTTCCTTGAGTATAGGAAATTCGTTGTTGAGTGTGTTCGGCCGTTAGTGGAATCCCTACAATACTGCGTTGCAAAACGGGATGAAAAAGTTAGAAGGATCGATGAATTGTGCGCTACAAGAAATCGTGATCGTAAAAAAGTTCCAATTTATTCACGCCTGCTCACGCATTGCGTCCAACTGCAAGGTGCATAAAAAAAAGTTATCCAGCGATGCAAGTCTGTAATAAGCTGTGCGAGAGGATCAGACACGTGCGTCGGATAAGTTCCCAGAGTAAAAAAGGAGGGTGACGATTTTACATTGGCGCGACGCGAACTCGACACGGCGCCGCAACAACGACGGGAAAATGCGACCTTGCACGGTGAGGTGCCCTGGCGCGTGACGGCTGCTGGCCGACCCAGCAACATTCCCTGCAGTTCGTGTCGTAACCCTGGTCTGAACCAGCTTGTCAGTACTGTTTCGCGAAAGTCAAGTGTGGTACCTGAAAGAGAGAGAGAGAGAGAGAGAGAGAGAGAGAGAAAAAAAATCGTGCACTGGCTCGGGAACCCCGAAGTATTAAAACTGGGAAAAGCAGTGAACACAGGCGCCAGCGATCACTGTTTGCTCGATGAATTTCCTCCTCAAATTTAGAAGCTTATCGACCGCCCCAGACACAGAGGATTGTTTCTGAACGCCTTGTACGCTTTCGCGATTCATGCAAGGAACTGACTCTCACTCCCCAAATCAAATCTTTCAGAAATTTAGAAAAACAAAAAACAAAAGGTAACTTATACAGCAACTCACAATGCAACATTTTTGTGGACCATGCACAATTATTTTATAAAATGAATAGTTGAAGTTATCTCCTTGACGTTTATGCGGGAAAATTTCGAAGGAAAGCTGATTGACCGCGGTAGTTATTAAATAAGATATTAAGGAGTTATTGAATGATCTGATTCCAACTCGATTGGAAAACAGCACGAAGTACATCTCTATCGTAATTATGCGTATACTGCGCATCACATGGACACCATTCCAGCTGGATCGGAAAATAGTTAAAAACAACTTTTATTCTTATTAGAATGGTCATATGACAGTCATGAAATCGAAGTTCATTCAGACGATTCAACGACAAAGTCAATCATTCAAATATATTTCATACTTTTTTCCTCAATTCAAATTCAAGCAGGCACCCGCTTCAAGATCCTGTGGCTTTTATTTTTACCGCGATTTGAAAAATGTCTGCGAAAAATTCAATTTAATTACGAAGAAAAGAAAACTCTTTGCCTTCCGAATACTAAGCTCAGGAGAACTTACTCTAGTAAAGACGCCACAACAGTAAGTAGATTAGCCTCTAAATAAACACAGCTCGTTCCTTAATCCTTCAATTATCAGGGCGGGAAAATTTTCAATGAGAATCTTCCATGAAAAATCAATATTTACCCGTTCGCAGCTTCACTGATTCCTGAAAATAAAAAAAACGTGTCTAGTCGAGAGTTTATTAGCTGTTCCCTCTGTGGAAGTGCTTCCGGATGCTTCAAGTTCGTCAACGCTGAATGTCGAATATATAGCAGCGATGACAAGACTCTTCCTATATTGGTGAACAATTGTGTTCCGCGCACGTACGGTACTTCCCTGTGAGAATCCGAATAAAATTCCTCGAATTATTTTTACTGTACTAAAATTTTTGAATTTAATTTTTTTCCGGAATTTTTCACCGTTGGAGAGGATTTATCGAGATTGTTTCGACCGTCACTCCGGTTTTTCATCCAGACCAAGTACGGATCGTTTTCCTGTCTGTGTGTGCTTATCTATATAAACCGAAGTGCATATACAAAGGCTGAGGGAGTTACAAATACGTTCAAGTTTGTGCCTAGTTCCTCCCCAACCCAAGCTCCGTTTGCTAGCGAACATTTCATCATTCACATTTGTAACCGTGAAAAGTGAATCAACGTGCACCGTTATTACAACTTTCGAAATACGACAAAAAAAGTTTTTGACATGAATTTGAAGTGTAGGTAAGCAGATTTGAGTCTTAACACTCAATGAAGAATTTCACAGGAATAAAAAAAGAGCTTCGTTTGTCACTTTTTTGAATACTGTACAAGTACACGAACTTTGTGGAAAGGGTGAAGAATCAGAACATTGCGCACACCTTGGCAAATAAAAGTAATTTTATAATTACATCTGAACTTCTCGAGGAAACATAAATTACAGATTTTATCATTCACGTTCGATGAACAATGATTAATAAAAATATTTTATCCTGGAGTTGATTAACCGTCCTCCGCAGTAGCACAGAAAATATGAATTACAGTGGTGTCAAGAATAAATTATTTCAAGGTTTCAATATATTTGGCGTCGATAAAACCGAAGAGGTACACAAAAGAGTCTGTTGACTGAACATCTCAGACAATTTATAGAAACATTATTGCGAGTTTGTTTATATAAATCATTACTATTATAATTCTAGGATATCCGATGGTGATGTCTGCAGGGTATACTTCAAGATTTTTTTATTTACGGTATTTCCGGGAAAGTCATCACCCGGTTGATCAGCCGGAATTCTGTAACAAAGTCTTCAACAGAAACCCTGAAATGCTTAAATAATTAAATTGTATTCTAGAATATAGCAAGACCTTGAAATTTTTCCTGGGAATTTCGTAAGCTTGAAGTTGGGGGAATTTTTGTTTGTGTATTAACAAGTGCCAACTGAAAGTGGTCTGGTTTTAGAGCCTATAAGTTCTTGTCTTGAATCCGGAACATCGTATGGGTTATTTTTACCTCCTAAAATTTAGTATTTAAAGAATATTAATTGAATTCTTGAATCAGTTTGCTTTAAATTGAACTATGAGCAAAACATTATGCATGACACGCTCAAAACCCGCGCACTTTTGAAACGGATGATTCTGCGCTCGATAACCTGACAAGTGCTCAACCATGGTGGGTACCATGCTCATGGTGACGAACTTTTCGGGACATAGTCTCTAGCACTCATCAATGCATGCTCGCCTAGCACTCACGAAATGCTAATGTAGTTGCTTCAAGAAGTAGTGTAACGGTCGAGGAAGGATTTTGCGTTGGTGGCGGTACTAACAGGGAGACATGTGGAGACTGCTGGTGTCTCAGTTATGAACTTCCGTCTCAATGACGAAGTCTTTTCGTTCTCGATGGAGCTTTGAAGTCCTTCTTATTACTCATGCAGCAGTCCTCATATCCCAAGCGTGTTGTGCGAGTAGCTTCAGCTGACTTGCGCCTCTTTGTGCCAGAGGTTGGAAATTCCGGGATCAGTGCCTTCGCACGCTGCGTTTATCCGGAGAATTCGAGGTCAAACAGTTTCTGTACTCTGCCGCGCAATTTTTTCGTGTACTTCCGGGAAACTATTGGCAGTGCGTTCAATGGTTTGTGTGAATTCCATGGCGTAATTCGACGATGTTTTGAACGCGTTTCTGTTAAGTTGATCACGCTGGGTTCGTGGAGATGTGATAGTATATTTTTTTTAACGAGCTTGGGATGCTGAATGAACGTTTTCGGCTGAAGTCAGCATTCGAGTGTTGGTGAACGTTGCGTCTGTCCCGTCCGAGTGATTTGCTGCCCTTCTGTGTGTCGCAATGTATGAGGAAGGGTTCGCAGCTGTGATTCATTTTTGCGTGGAGAAGTCGGATGCGGAAGTTCCGTGGGGGATTGAGCTTGCAGGCGGGATCGACCAAGGTCAACCGTTCACGATTGCAAAAGTACGATATTTTTTCATCTCAAGAAAAAAAAATCCCCATATTCTAAAGAAAATATTATATTTTAATTCCTCCGAGTTTTTTTTTTCTAGCTCGACTTCAGTAATAAAAATTGCATGAGCGTATTCATGTGAATGTGAAACGCAGCACCTCCTACAAAGCACCATAAAGTATTTTGTTTAGTCCGTCAAATTACCTGAAAAATTATTTTAAAGCCCCTGGAATGCAGTCACTTGATGTTTCAGTATGAGGTTTTTCAGAGACTATTTCACACCTATGATCACAACATGTATAGGGATTTGGGATTCAAATGGTGATATGAATGATAAACTCATAAAATTGCGGTGGAGAACTACAGAAGATACTTGTGTCGAATATTTCAAATGGCCAATCAACGATGGAAACATTTGCTACGACTATTATCATTTCGAAGAGGAAGAATAAAGATTAATTCTTCCAGAAGCTTCATCGCATTTTTACTCTGATTTTATTTGGCATGTTTAACACACTGATTATTTCGTTGAAATTATCTCTTGTGTTGAAAGACGAGTCGTTGCATGGTTTGGTGCATAATTACGGACCAGTCCATGAATTTGATTTTTTCATGTGAATTTAAATCGCCAGCATACCTTCAAAATATAACCCACAACAGTGTTCCCCAACCGGTGGTCCGCGGACCCGCGCCGGTCCGCAGAAGATTTTTGCCGGTCCGCGGGAAACATTCAGCAACATAATGAATTTATCAAACGTAGCGATGAAGTGTGTTATCTTTATCCAAAATGTTGCAAAGACAATCGCAACTGAGTTGAAATTATCTGATGAACAAATACAAATTAGCTTTTCGCCCAACTTACACTTCAGACTAATTTTCGCATGCTGAAATAATTGATTTCAATTTTTAAATCCTGAGAAACCTTTCTTCACCTTTCTTCCCACCTTTCTCATTTTTGGAAGACATTTCCCTGTATAGCTGCTTCATTGGTGTTTTTTTTTTACAAAAAGCAAAAACTTTTTTTAATAATTGCCTTAAACTCTTTTAAGCAAAACTTTTTTTGAGTCTGCGAGAAATTTATGAAAATTTGACGGTCCGTAGAAAATTTTTGAGGAATTTACCAGTCTGCAAAATGTGCTTTGGGAAATTTGCCGGTCCGCGGTCCCAAAAAGGTTGGGGAACGCTGACCTACATTACTTGCTTGTGAGTGAAAATCAGGAAAATGGCTTCAGAAATAAGTGGCTGAATCAAGTCGGAAGTCGAACAAAATATTTGAATAAAAGGCTATTTCCGAAAAATCTGAATTTCCAGGAAAAATTCATGAACATGTTGGCTATGACGAAGTATCTTTGAAGTAGGACTTCTCTATTTGTGCATCAGATATATCCTGGAGCATGGACGAGCCAGCGGCTGGAAATAGGAGACAGAGTTCTCCAGCTTCAGAAAGCCGATTTAAACACGTTGACGAATTCTGCTGCAAATCGCATTTTGGAAGCAAGTGCCAAGATAAACAAACTTGAGATGACTATCGGCAAAGCGAGGAGAACGATATCGTACGTATAGTTAAGCCACTGTTCCTCATAGTTGCGTTTTATTGTCACAGATGTCGTTCGATGCACTAAGAATTTGAGTCGGAAAATTATCTAGAAAAGCATTCCGGGAATAAGTGGAAACAGCATTCGTCCGTAAACTGCAGAGCACTTCGTTTCGTGGGAAGGGAAAAATTAAAAATACTGTATGCACATATATCTACAAAAATTCCAAAAAATTTGCCCATTGAAGACCAAACTAATCATTAGAGACTATAATTCGTTGACAAACTCATCAACTGATAACAATAAAGTACAGTTATTAGGATGCTAATGTTTTTTTTTTAAAGAACTTTCAATCATTGGATTGATAAACGCAATCAGATGAAGTTGGCTTTATCGCATTGTGAAGCATGATTGACCACGAAACATTCTTAATTAGGAATGTTTTTTAGAAATACGACAGCTGCTCTTATTGTTGCCAAACGTGAATGGTCGTCTTGGAATTTAAAAAAAAAATGTATATATATACCGGTATATAAAAAGAAGCCGTTGGCCTGTCGCTTCTTGAAGATGTGTTGAATTAGGTATTCTTCGCATACCAAACTTTTCTTATTTTTCCGTGTAATTTATAGAGAATTCCGTTGTATAATTTAAGATTGCTTCTCCAACATCAAGTTGTTTTTTTTTCGGCATAAGCAATCTTTTGACTACCTATTTGCATCGACCAAGTCTGTTGATCGATGTGCCACCATAAATCTTTCATCGGATTCTAAAACCGTTGTCATGTCAGTGAAATGAAAACTGCATGTTATTTACGTGTAGAATGTGAATGACAGGAGTTGAATTGCTCCCGAAGTATTTGCCGCACCTTCGACATTCCCAAGTTATAGCTTCTCAGTGTATAGTAGTCAGCGGACAATAGCCACAGGAATTGTCTTCTACGTGTTCCAATGCCTGGGATTATTTATGAAAGAAGAACAGTTGGGACCCCGAAATAAGGACATAATCTGCTTGGACCTTGTCCGTGAATCGGAGCATCCGTATTTTGAATCATGTTTACCCCACGGACTTGAATGGGAACCTGGTACTTGGTTCTGTTCTCCTGCTTATCAAATATTAGAAAAAAGTCTCCCAAGAAGTATTTATTTTTCTCCACTTTGAAATATCAGAAAATAGCAGCAGAATAAAACCACAGCAAATTTGATCTTTTGGCATCGAAGGAGCTCAAAAACCGAGGAACAAGCTGGAGTCGTTATATTCTGTGCTCAGATGATGAAAAATACCCTGAAAAAAAAATAGCTCCTTTTGGGCTATTAAAAAAAAAAAATTTAATTTTTGTGAATGCTGTATAAACAGCCCAATTTGTCAAGATAACTCAAAATGTTACTTTAAACCCCCAATTTTTCTAAAAAGGTTTGTAAATTGTTTTTATCATGAGACATTATTTGAATGTTCGGGCAGCTTTTTTCGAGTTTTCAAGTGTAAGTTCTGAAGTCGTATCATCCTAATGTCTCGGCGTCCGAATTTCGGGCCCCACTGTCCGTTGAATAATATAACCCCAAGCTCTTGAACCACGCGAAAATCCCGTAGACGTAGAGGCTACCCGAAAATTGGCGGGCATTCGATCACTGAGGCTGATCCTTATTTTTTTCTCTGGGCCGCCGCTCCTTCTGAACCGATCCCGGCAAAAATGTTGCCCCAATTATAAAGTCAAGATTTTTCTTTTCTGCTACCGAGAGGTCGGGTGTAAAAATAGGTCGCTTTCTCGTCGCGGCGTGCGTGGGCGCAGCGCTGCCGTGACTCAGTCGCCACGACCGACACCTGGATCTGGCCGCCGAGGTCACGGTGGAGAGTGGACCTCGACTCGTGGCTGCAATAAACGTGGAACAGCAACTTCCCTGGAATTCTAAATTCAGTTACGGTTGTTGATCAATTTTCAAGTCCCAGAGCAAAATCATGAGCCCGATTCATCTTCATCGCTACATTCCCAAATCCATTACGACAATTGAAAGTTCGTAAACTCAATCCCAACGCTGTAAATTTAAAAAAAAAGGTCTAACCTTATGCTGACTGGTCCACTTTTTCGCCCAATTCCATTTGCAGTGGCGATCACGCCAGTGGCGAATCTTGCTTGCGCCTTTAAATTTTTAGCAGTGCATTCTTTAAATTTTCCCAAAACAATGGTTTACAATTCATTTTTGCAAGAATAGTCTGGTTTACGCCGAGACGATATAGATACGGTTGAAAACATTATTTTGGAAACGGATATCTGAGATGTGTTCGATTGCATTGCATTTTACAATGGCTGTTTCTGTGGTGCCAAATGAAGTTTCATAAAAAAATACTTGGAGAAGTGAATAATATTGTTCCAGAGAAAATATGTTTGGAAACTATACGAGAATGTGTATAAAAAGGAAATGGTGCAAATTTTAATGGGTCAAACTCGCAAGATCTTTCAAATTCGATGCGAAATAATATCACATAAAGTCGAATCGCTCAGCGTAGTCTGGGAATATAATCCTGATCTTGAACCATCTGTTTCGAAACACACTGAATCATCGAAATAGTTGCCAGTGAACAATTAAGAAACAGCGTGAGCTATCACATTGTAGACGTTACAACGGTTTATTTCAAGCAAAAGTGCCTAAAAATGAGATACTTGAAAAATGTATTTCATTCATGGATGGTTGATTACCTCTGATGATTGCTCATTGCAAACAGCCCACATAAATCGAATAAAAATCTGCAATCTGATCCAAGAACTCCAGTTTATACAGAGTTTTCTCGGTAGAAATAAAAAATAATAATAACAGACAACGAACTCAATACAGTACCGTATTTCGAATTTGTATATTTCAAGGGGTTATATACGAAGAACATACTGTACGTGCATTCAGAAAAATAAAATAAAAACGGATATTATTTGAAATCCCAAGCTGGTTATATTTCTTTAACTGAATGATTTATTTCATCATTCGGAGTATTTTTCACATCGCAATTTGAATATGAATTCCAGTACGTCGTAATTTTTTTCTCAAGATATAAAATTCTAATAGCCATAAAAATCATAATACATAATATAGCGAGTTAAGAGCTATTTTATTTAAAATTCCATTAGGTCTTGTTTTTTGTCTATCTCTCATGCTGGTTTAAAAAAAAAAAATGCATGACCAGGTGTAAAATAATTTGGGCCACCTCTTAATTTCATATTTGTCTCAGACCGCTGTGAGTTCTCTGGCAGATGATGCGAGCTAGGCTTAGAGTTGGCAATCTTCCGCGTGTTTTGAAATTCGAGTCTGGCGAGAACAGCGTTCTTCCATGAACTGTGCATTTGCCACCACGGAGAAGAGAAGAGACGCAAAAAAGAGGCGCAGCAGCGGCGCTTCCGCAGCCAACGACGGCAACATGGCTGGGCCTCGACGTCAGTGACGCGAACGTCGTAAAGCCGACATCATTCAAACAAGTGCCGCCGCGACCCTTTGATGGACATTAGCGGAAGAAACCCTTTCAAGGTTCGGTGTGGTTTTTGTTGTGAACATTTTCAGTGAAGTTCGATTCGTGGACCATTCCGAGGCGCTGCGACAGGACAGACGGGCGCCGGATTCAATTCCGAGGGCTTCGGCTCGAGAAGGAGCCGCCACTAACATGCAGCACGACTCTTCCGACAACGTCATACCCTGGAGGTTCGTCTTTCTCGATTCTCTATAAGAACCACTCAGTTTGAATGCGAAAAGCTTCAAGAAATTCCACGCCAGTTGAACTGGGGATATTATGTATCGAGGTGATTTTATACTCAATTTTTGGACATGTAGGTGATATTACACGGACGTGAACTCAAATAAAACCATCGGCGAACTTCCCCATAATATTTCAGAACTCCAAAGTCATCTTGAAGCGGTATTTTACGAACATATGTTCGCAAAAAGGCCGATTTTTCGACTATCCAGCGCGCTTATTTGGTAACCGAATAAAAATAAATGATAATAAAACTGCAGACTGGACAGTGAACTTTCTATCGTTAACTTTCGTCAACCTCTTGAGCGAATTGACGACTGTGTTTAAGTTAATGATTCAAGTTGAGTGAATCCATTTTTTGGGCTTCTCTTGACGGAGTCAACATTTGGTTCCATGGAGAAAAAAAATGTGGTTTCTTAATACTGAACTGTTTTCTTTCACCCTCGTGGGGTAGAAATGGTTCTCTCATTGGCTCTGACCTTCTTGAGCTGTGATATTGAAGTGAATTTTTAAGAGATGAATAATTCGTGGTATGGGATTTGATTATCTTGACTGAGGCCCTTGAGGTTTTTAGGAATCTCTCTGGAGATGCATTTTACAATTTCTAAATGGAAGTACAGTAACTTTCTTGCATACGATCATCCGTTTCATTTGCTCATCGAGGGGAAAAACACTAATTCATACAGTCAAACTTCAAATGTTATTTAATCATTGGCGATTTAAACCTCTGATATCCGTTATCATTACTTGAACCTGAAGATAAGTTCAACGACTAGTTGCTCGTTTTTCTCTGCAAAGGAACTCGAGCATGGGAAGAATTTTCATCTGACTGTCCCATGATTTTTCACGGATTTCTTTGTGCTGAAAATCTGCTGGTGGGGCACAGCAATTCCACGAATTTTAGCTATTCTTGTTACTTCTACGCGTCATTTTTGACTGGTTCTGATTCACATTTTGACCACGTTCGGCTGTTCGACTGGAAGTATTTTTGAAATATTTTTTGAACTTCTACGAGTTATGCGATTTACTCCTTGTCTTCGGTATTTTCGATGCATTGAGTCTCGAACTAACGAAGCCTCTGAACTGGGTCTTGCGATAACACGCGAATACAGAGCTAGCGTTTCAAGGGCAGCAAACGAATGCCGAGTCCTTTTACTCAGTCCTGGTTGAAGAATAAGCAACGGATGGGATTTCATAAAAGCAAATTTATCCATCCAATCTCAGGTTACTGGGACGCTAAAATCCGTTTGTTCAAAATGTGTATCGTCCGGTTTCTTCGCTGTAAGCCATGTTTACAGTATTCCTTAGAGAGTGAGGTCATACGCACGCATCTTTAATTTTTCAAGCCTTGACTTTTTGTCGGATTGTTGGGGGTCGCTTGTTTCATGACCTCACTCACCGTGCTCGTGGTTTCTGTCAATGCGGAAATTTTGCGGGCAAAATAAAAAAAAAACTTTTCCAGAGTTTCCGGAGTGATGAGAGAAACAAGATCGCAGGAATCCGTCTCAACTGGGTCGACAGAACCGGGAATTTGAAAACAGAGAATAACCACCTCGGGTTTTCTCCACGCGAGTTACGACTGCAGTTGAGACGAATTAAGGCCGCCTCGCACAACGCAAAATGAAAATCCGTCCGAGAGACCCTCACATGTATTTCATCAATGTGTTCATGTGTCACTATGGTTTTGCTGACTTTGTGACACCACTTAACCTGTCATTTATTATTCTTGGACTTTGAATGAACGTCTATCGTAGATAAATTGGGAATTACTTGGCTCCCAAAACGTCACTGAATTTTCTAAAAGCCCTAATTCCTGAAATTTCGAACCTTCCGAGCGGATATGCGTCATAATCGTTTTCCAAGATTCTATATGGAGAACGTTTTCAATTTTTCCTATAAACTACTAGACTGCGCGTTATCATTTCAGTCAGACTAATGTATTCAAGTACAGTAAATTAAAAGAGTCGCGCACACATATAATGAAGAATTCATTTCAACCAAATTTTGAAAAAAAGCCTTTGATCGTCGCTAAAATTATTCTTGTGATAAACGTGCTCCACAAATCAAAAGTTTTAGACAATAAATGCATGAATTACTGTGAGTTATGAGTTTTAACTTTTGAAATTTCGAAAGGCAAAGCAAACATTTTACAAGAAAACTGAACGTTGTTGTGGGTCTAGTACAAGTTTCTTCTGTAATTGATCAATACATGCGTGAATTTTGATGCAATCCTCAAGGGATTTTTTATCCAGGAATGGAAAATTTTTAAACTTTAAATTTGCGTCAGGATTATTTTCGTTGTGCGGAGACGATCCGTTGCATTTCGGAAACTTGTCGAAAAAATGCAAAGGCTTTCGAATAACGAGGATTCTCCATTAGATTTTCCCTCTCTGGAGAAATCAGGAAAAATAAAGTCGTTTCGACAATTTTTAGCATACTATTCGCGTGTGGGGTGCTGTTTCTCAAATGTGCTGTGAAGCAGACCTAAGGGACCTTGGGTTTCGCTGAGTGCTGTTCTGTTTGTGGCAATAACGAGGCGCAAAGAAATCCTCCGCGACGCGAAACTCTCTTCCCTGTTCATACAACCATCCGGTAGTTGGTAAGCCGCCAATTCTTTCCAAGCGTTTCTTTCACGCGACCGAGTCGGGTCTGTGTGAAATTCTTTACGACCGTCGAACATGAATGCTCAACGCCAACGTTTTTAGACTCCCGGGGTTCTTATTGATATTAAATTTCAATGGCAGAGTCTTTTCAAAAAATATTTTCTCTACGCGGAGTTAGTTCACTAGTATATAAGAGTACTGCCGTGATCGTTCCAAGAAATGTTTAATAACTCCCTGGAGGTCAGAATCGGAATTTCTTCGGAATAAAATCTAAGTTTCAGAAAATTCAATGGAACTTACTTTTGATTCTTACTTCGCGATTCCGTGTTGAAAGACAAAGCAGAAGAAAATCCTACTCTCAATGAGCTTCCAGGATAAAGAAAATTTGTCAAATGATACAAAAAGCGCGAGAAATATATAAAGGCTCGAAGCATTGTTGGGATCCTGAAAAAATTCCTAGCTGAAAGTATCTTAAATACGCAAGACGTCATGGGATCCAGAAACTGCCATTTCGTCTGCGAATTACTGTTTCAATAAAGTGTACTCACCAAATTTCAGAGGACCAGGAAGAAGTGTATAGTCTTTTTAGTTTATATGATTTATCCTCAAAGACTCTTCCTAAACTGTTTGGTCAATTACAAACTTTCTGGTAATAAGCTGAACATCTTTTCCTTGAATTTTTAATCAGTAATTCCCTTATGCTTTGACTTTTCTCATTCCTTGGAAAAAGGGGATGACAATTCGTTATTCATGCATTTGTATGCATTTTTATGTGCATTTTCTTTTAATTCCTTTATGGTGATTTTTTAAAATGCAGGAATGTGTGAAATGGACCTTGTGAATGCTGAAAAGCAACAAAAATCTTTTATAGCCTAAAAATATACTGAACAATTCCCATCGCGTACAATGTGCCGATGCTTAGCCTGAAAGTCTAAACATATGTTTCCATGAGCCCCCTCGTCGTCGCTGAAGTGAGTTAGTAAAAAAACTCTTCCTTCATTTTCTTGCCAAAATTTTCACGGGGGGCATATCGTCTTCAGAAGGCCCCCGGGAAGCTTGACAGAGGTAATAGAGAGCAACTCAGCAGGAGAGCGATTAATTTTCTCCCCTGCCACGGAAAATACGTCGAGGCCGAGAATGTCGGGAATCTCGTGAACCCCGGAGTTTCCGGATTCTTCTCCATTCCATGAATATTCTCTTACGCAGAACCAACGGTAACTACGTAATGAGGAGAAGAAGCAAACGCACTTGCTTTTCGGCAAGTTCATAAAACACATTCTTTCAAGAGCAGAGAAACTGAAATAGATTACTCTAAAAACAATCGGAGGCGTTTGACGTGGCCACTGGACTGATGGCACATGGACATCGGTTATACGCAGTGTAGGCAACATTTTCATAGCATAAAGATAGTCATTTCAATCATTGGTGAAGCAGCAAAAGAAGTACATGGAAGAAAATTGTAATTTCATTTCTAGATCGCGCGGAGAGGACGGATTTAACGAAAACAGCTACGAGAAACTACTCAAAAACCGAAGCGAAAAAAATTAACGCTGGGCGGACAATTTTAAATCGGTACTGTATACACAGTACTGCGTCATAAATTTGATTATGTTTTTTCAGGGCTACATTGTGCAAACATTGCTTTCCGTGTCCTGAAAGTACGTTCCATCCAGAGAAAGGGTACGATAACCCTGATGTGTGATGTGGCACCTAAATATGCAGCTGGGTATTTGAACCAATGGTATTTCAGCAATCAGCATACAAGTTTACACCTGGCAGGTGATTCACAAGATTCTCCTGATGGTCTCGCATATGAAATAGGCAGTGCCTCCGTTGGAGCATAGAAAAGACATCAACTCAGAATGTGAAATAGAACTGCTGGTCATGATAACCATGAAACTTTACACCTGGCCTAAATACTGGTACAATTTTTTCCAGCCAGCCACATGCATACCACTAGTGATGGTACCTTGCTAGGTTTTAAGCAGGAATTCAGTATTTATTCATTATTCAGAATTTTTCACGAAAATCACAACTTTCATTATAAGAAACGAACTCATCATTTTCTGAACAAGGCACGAAATCAAAGTTGAAAGTTTGGTGATTGGTGTAATTATGTCGAAACCCGGAAAAAGCCCGGTCATTGATTCCATCGCGGAGAAAATGACTGAAACGTGATTCTCCCGAGGATGGATCATCGTTGGACTTAATTTTAAAAATAACATTGCAAAAAAAGCGTGGTTTTTGTTTCATGAACGAAGACACGAATTCACCTCTCGACGACGCTCATATCGTGACCACGGTTTCAGTCCTGCTTTTGATAATCGTTGGTGTGTTCACGAGCACAGCAGAGTGAATGGAGTCAATGGACTCATTCGAAAAAGATGCATTCGTATCTATTCTTTATCTATATTCTATGGAGACGCATGATCACTGCGTATGTGCGCTTCTTTGTAGCAATGAAGTACGTGTGACGCTGCAATTTTGTATATTTTTGCTGTCCCAGTGAATCTCATTACTTTCGTTATGGAAATTATTCACGCTGAATGCAGTCTTATTCTGAAAAATCTGGCCAGTCGTCTAGAGACTTTGGATTTGATTCGAAATCGTTCAACTTATATGCCTGAATTTATTGTAAGGGTTCAGATTTTCCGTGGAATGACTTCAGCGAGTAAAACCCTTTCCAAATGTGAGTGTGAGGTTCTCGAATGATTTACAGGGTTTCATCCGACTTCTAATAATGATAGACTCGGACATTTTGTCTTATTTCCTGCATTTTACAACTTCAAACATGGAGAAAGGTCTGAAAACCTCCTAACGCAGAATAATGTGTATCATGATTCATGCGCAACTCAAGATGGGATTATATAGCATGTTTCACTTTTTTTTTTAATAAATTCGTGCTTAAAGTTCATCTTATTCCCACTAATTGGTTTCGTTAAGTCCTCTATCGATGGAAATTTTTTTAGAATTTCAGAAAAATTTCCAAATGCATGTCATCAATTTTCAACGTACAGTATACAGTACGGTACATGCAATTCATAATTTCGGCTCTAAATTTTAATGCCTCACAAATTTACAACCTTCCCGGTGCCCTTCCGGGCTATTCAGACAAGTTGAAGAGAAAATGGAATAAGTGAACTCTCATTTATTTATACTGTACGAAGTTCATGAATTGCAGTTAAATGTTCAAGTCCAGAAAAATCCGTTAACGGTTTCAAGATTGCTTCGTGCGTCAGCAATTACATAATTACCTATGAAGACGCACGTTTTGTTCATCTCAGGAAAAATGAATCGGAAACACGTTGGAGTCACTGAGCGAAGTTGTTACTGTTTCCTTCAGAGGAGCCTCTCTTGAAAAAAAAATTATTTTCCCTTTCTTCTTGTACCTTTTGTTGTGTGAGGGCTGATTATTCGTGCGTGGAACACGATCAAGGCGCGTCCGTTTGACGTTAGTCGAGCCCACTGCGGTCATCTTTTTTTTGCATATTTATTTTCTTCAGACCGTGAATTATTCCAACCGTCGCCACTTGGAGTGCATAAGGAAATGAGTTACCTCTTCCTTCTCCCCTTGCATAGCACATAACCTCAAGGTTGATTCGGTGATTTTCCGAGGAAATGCCGAAATTCGAACTTGATTTTTCGAGGCTTGAACAGTAAAGTATTTTGCAGTAAAACTCCTTTACAACGAACCTCGCTACAGCGTATTTTTCCCTATGCCAAATCTTTTAATCGGCAGAAAATTTTAAAAACGTTCGAGCATCATCAAAGAATAAACTGTGCGCGTGGAGGATTTAGTTTCTACAAAAGTAAACAATATTTCATATTTATTGGAAATTTTTAACTCACTTTGAGAAGGTATGCCTTTCTTTCAAATGAATAGTGCTAAAAAGCCTCAATTTCAAAGGAAAAAGCAGGTATGAATGAATACGTTTATTTGAATACTGTATAAGCATTCATTTCTTCATCATCTAGTGTTTTTCATCATATTTTCAAGACATACAACACAGTAGATGAAGAAAGGCAGGCTGGCTATGTAAGAGAAGCACTGCATATCCAAAATGTTTCTCCTTCATTTCATCATTTTAAAAAATGAAGTATGACTGGTCTTAATTTATCTGTTGTAAACGCACCAATGTATTTATAATGTATTGCCCAGTTCTCCCAGAACGTCAGTTTAAAATCTGTTCCAAATCATGCATCTCAATATGGACAATTTTTTGTTCCGAAGATTTTTTATTAGGTCACTGCGGGTTCGCTATAACGAGATTTTACTGTGAATTGAAAACGGGATCGAAAGACGGAGAAATGTGTTGCGTACTTCATTTTTGCATTTAATTTTGGTCTCTATGACGCCACACAGATGTATGAGGGTCAGTTGGATTAATTCAATTTTATGTTTGAATAAGTATAGTGCTTTATCATAACGATACCCCTATCATCCAGTACTTGATTCCGATCTTATTCATTCCAATTGGCTGTTCAGGGTTCACTTCTTCTGCTTACCAGCAGGACACTATATCTGGAATGAATAAATTCAGCCAGCAGGATCTCATTTTACCGTATGACTGCGGCATTCATATGTACAGTACTCATCAACGCAAATATGACGTCACCAAACTCTTAGACTGCCCTAAATTTCCAAACCTCTCCAACTTGCAAAATTGAAGATGTCACAAATGATTCGTTGGAATTGTCACTTGCTTCAGAGACTCGTTTTTGCGAGTCAAAATAAATGAAATGAATTTATTTATCGGCGACATCTATTTGAAATTATATCTGATTTAAAAATTGAATGGCTATTTTCCGCTATAGTCACTTCAGGGAATAAAGAACTTTAATACTGTAGTTGAACATTTTCTAGATGTGTGAATACTCGGATTAGATACTGATTGATTGAGTGATAGATAAATTACAGTAGATTTATTTTCCGCTTTTCAGTGTTCACAAGGTTCAAATAATTTTCCCACATCCAACCCTGAATAGGATGCTATAGAAGTGTATAGATACTGATACAGCATCTTATCAATTTGAATGAGTACATCATTTTTGAGCAACCCTAGGCTGGATCTTCTTTATTATACCGTAATCTCAGGAACCTAGGAATAAATGCTGAATTTCAAGAGTCAATGTGAAATTTTATAAAATGCTCCGATAAGGAAGCAAAACGCTGTATGCTGAGAAGAGTACGAGTGAGCATTGGTACCGTTTAAAAGAATTACTGTACAGTACTACAGTGCGAATATGATTAAACCACCCCGTTCCAAAAATAGGCATGAGTACCGTATAAGGAATATTAACAGACGATCAGGTTACGGTCAGTTTTTCGGAAAGTGGGCCTGAAATCTGAGTGGCGGACTATACAAGAAAATTTCCGAGTTTTCTATCAGTATGGGGCTCTCACGTGGCATATCTTCAAGCGAATTCGACATATTTTATTTCAAAAACGAAACTTTCTATTTATCTTCTTCTGAGGGTCTTACATATGTCCTTAGTTAACATCAGGCATTCGTCTCTGATGGAATTCATTATTCGTAACCGCTAAAAAGATCCTCTCAGGGCAATTGGTAGGGCTACAACGTGCAAATGCCCACCGACAAGTCGATTCAATTTTTTTTTTGCGGCCAAAACATTTTGCACTGTGGCAAACGCTTAAATCCAGGTGCGGCCTATACTCGCATGAATAATATCCAATAGTTCTTCGGTAGAGTTCACAAGGTGCACTACAGTATTTTAAATCTTGACTCGCATCATCAGAATCTCGGGTTTCGGTTCATCCGCGGCTTGCGATACAGAGCCATCCCGAACCCGACTCGCAGCCGCGGCGCGGCACCCTTATCGACCGAGTCGCCAGAAAACTGGTTCCCGAAGGTACGCCACAGATGGATGGATGGAACCCGGCCCCGGAGGAGCAAAGAAAGGTGCGCTGTGGCAACCCCGGGCATCCCAGCAATATATATGAAGTCGGTCGGTTTCTCTTCCGTACGCGGAAACGGGTGTGGTGACTCAGAGGTGACTCGAGCCCATCGCTGGCTGACGCCTGCGAGTCCGCTCAGTTCAACTACGACGGTGCGGGCCCGCGTGTGCGTTTCACTAACGTTGACGAGAATAAGTCTCTGTGATGGTGAAATGTGTTTCAAACTTTGATTTTCCTCACCGTTCTCTCAAGATTCATCCGGTGATTCGAATTCCGAAGAGGGGAAAAGTTCCTCAGATAATTATAAAGAAAATCGCGGTTCAGGCCAGAGCGTGTCGAAAGAGTGCCTTATATGATAACAACAACGATCCTCATAACAAATGCGGATGATTCAAGATGCTGTGTGTACGTCACAAAACGGAGGAAAACTTGTGAAAGGAACTTCGTCGTCTACATTTTGATGGGTTCTGTTATGGAAAATGTATAACCCGTCGCGGGAAACATACTGTAATTCGAAAAATGAACGTTCTTCATGCGAGTGGACGATGTAAAATGTTGGCTATCACAGGTAAATTTGTTTCTGGCCATATTATGAGGTCTTCTTGAGGATTATACGATTGTTCAGACAAAAATGGTAGAGTTACCTCACCATCTCAGGACTATGCAGCAAAAAATGCAACATTTTACACCCAGATGAAGATTTTATAATCAGATTTTTTTTAACGTTTTAATGTTAAATGTCATCAGATTATGAACTGCATTTTGAATTGCTCGAAATTCAGTAA